CTAACGGACACGCCGCTTGTTGCTTAATTTTGCGAAAATGAAATACTTGTAGCTGTTTCGTATCGTGTTTTGCCGTCATCCCGAAACATGGGTTGTGAATTTTCTCAAGCAAGCCGTTCAAAGATCGTTCGGTAAAAACCAATAGCATTATGTAAAACCGTCGGGATTCTCAGCTCTTGTGTACCCGTCAATACGTACAACTGCCCGATGAGTGCACCGGGACGAACAAAAATACGCCAGTCAGCCAACACAGGTAGAACAGTTTTGTGTCATCTTTCGACTCACACACACCGCTCAAATTTCAGTGTTTCTCGTGATCACTCTGGCCGTGATAGAGACGCATCACCAAACTTAGCCACACCGACTATGAATATGTTCACATACAGCTGTTTATAACATCATCGTATATTTAGGTGAGGTCGTTGTGAAGGCCTGAATTTGTCTAATAATCAGACTGGTAAGGAGTCTTTTGGAATTCTCTGTTTTGGGCGGTTGTTCTCTTAACAAAATTTTCAACCTGGAGTTCTAGTATCAGATTCATCAACGGAACGATATTCATTCGCGTGGGACAAGAAATGATCGACACCAATGCAGATGTATCTAGCCCGGAATCATTATCCAGGTATTCCAAAGAAGAAATTTCGGATATACCTGATGCGCAGTTCCGCACAGAAATCAGCACAATGGACAGACCGAATACCAGGGGAGGGAGAATAACTGCTCAGGAACTGACCAATAAAACGCCATGCGATAGTACAGGCCGGTTGGCCACTCGGTTAATACACAAAAAATATGTACAGCCATCCTTGAAATGACCTGCTACCCATAAGAGTGCTGAAAATCTTTCAGCAACTCACTGCAGGTCTCACATTTCTAGGTTTCATTTGTTAGGCGTACTATCTGATTTTCAATTCAAACAAGGTTGACAGAAATTCGCAGACGGATAAACAAAATGACGAATCAGCCACACCGAGTAAATGCAGTATTTCGGTTGATTCATTCGTTACACGAATGTTTATCTTGGGACTAACGTACAAAATCATTCCGTACTGGACAGTCCTTCTGCGGTTACCGGAACCGTGACCCCACAGACTGCGACGGACTTTTGAATGTGAAATGTGGACTACAGTATACAAAAACTCCAACACCGCAATGAATTAGTTGCTTTTTGCAGGCAGGTTACATCCCTTCTAGTAGATGCCAGACACTACATAACACCAGCACGAAATGCGTCGTCATTCGCTATTTGAAAACTTTTTCTGCTGACTGCAAGGAATTGGCAACAGGCAAGACAAGGAGCATGGAATTGTCGTTCCGTTAACTTGTCGTGTTGTGACTTTATGAGAGGTGCAGTCATAACATTTCCTTCTATCGGAAGGAATGTGTTTCATCCGGGCAATCCACTGGCACCCCGAGAGCATACAAAACACCATTGGCTGGTATCAAGCCAAAACCTCAACTCAGACGGCAATCCCATTACTTCGGTTACAATCACACAATTCACCGATCGATTAAAGCAGGTTTCTACCACCAATTGATGGAGCTTATCAGCTACACCTCACCTTTAGGTAAATGTCAGAGTAAAATGAAAGGGCAGTTGCTGTCATATCCAACTGCTTTCCGCACTCCTGTGCCTAGTATCAGAAGAGGTACACAACAGGCTTATTCCAAACAAGCGAGTGTGTGCTAGTGGAAATCCTACAACGGCCTCGAGCTATTAATTGGGACCCTTCTGGCATTAACCCCGGCAGACTGATGGCATTTAGTGAACACCTCCAACATCGATCGCGATTCTGAGAGATGCCTGAACGCTATACACATTTGGTCGTGCTTATTGGCGTGCATGAACGCACGTCTGCTTTTGTCTATCCGTTCCGAATAACCGTCTGCTTTTCGCACACACTTAACGGGGACTCAATTGTACTTAAGTAATTCTCTCGTGTAACTGGTTTGTTTCAACTGGATTGGAAACTAAACTAAGTTTTCTATCAATTGGAAAATGTTTGGGACTGATAGTGAAGTCATCTTTTTAGAGGGTTTGCTAAGCGTACAGCTGATGGACCTAAGCGAAAAAGTAGTAACGAAAAAATCACGTAAATAACGAATAAGGGTATAGAAGGAGTTTGGAGGTATCTGAGATCTGTGCTAAACCATCCGGGGCATGGCAATTGGTATCGATTGTAGCCAAAAAGTGCAATCCAACAAAGACTCTAGGGGTTACCGAAAATTAATACGGAAGATGCCCCCCAAATAGTGGATAGCATAGGTTGACCACCACATGAACTGGCCAGGTATCTAGCAGGTATGCTTAAAACACTTGCCGGCAAGTCACCCACACGCATCCAAGATTCGACTTTGCTAAAAAAGTAGCTTGGTTTCAGACAGAGCCAGACGAAGTCCTGACTAGTTTTGACGTCAATTCGATGTATACCAACGTCCCTATAGCGGGCGCTGTGGAAGTAGCGAGAAAAGTTTTACTGGCGGACAACGCTGCAAGAAGGAACGCAACTATCCGTAGACGAGATAGTTGAAGGCATAAAAGTATGCTTAAACCTCAGTCTATTTGTTTTGACTCAATTATATACTCTCAAGAACAAGGTTTAGCGATCACCAATATACCCGATTTTGGCCAACATGTACATGAAAGAGTTCGAACAGAAAGCCTCAATCGGATTAGATTGTCCACCAAGGGTATTCTGACGTTACGTAGATGACGCATCCGTTGTAATAAAGCGGGATAAGATGAACGACTTCTTCCAACATCTGAACACATTGGACCCTCACATTAAGTTTGGCATAGATCTAGAGTCCACATCGCGTAAGCTAGATTTCCTTGACTGCATGACACACAAAATTGGTAGGAAATTAAAGACCACTGTATACCGGAAGTCAACAGATAGCGGTGCGGGCTTAAACTGCTACTCTGCACATCCTGGAGCAGTATATGCTAGGATAGCCCCAGTGATGTTTGGGAGAGTGAGAGCACTGTGTACGGAGATGGTCGACTGAAGAGCAGCACAACTTGAAGTATAAAAAGCGACTTCAATATGGTGGATACACATTGGGCTTAATTCAGCGGCAACTAAGACGGGTATTGGTGCCAACACCAAGGCCCAACAAGGGGCAGGTCGGAACAGCGGTCACTGCATACAAAACAGGGACAACTGAAGCCATTAGAAGGGCACTGAATATGGCTAAAATTAGAGTAGCTTTCCAGAGGGGGAAAACTTTACGCTCCATGTTTGTTGATTTGAAGGATCGGATTCCGGTTGATAGGACTAGGAACCGTGTATACAAAATAAAATGTGACGGCTGTACGAAGGTTTATATCGGTCAGACAGCCGGAGAATTGCACAACAGAATCGCTGTGCATAAGCGTTCCATTAACAAACCACCGAGAATCACAGAGGAACACCAGGCGTTAATCAAAGATTCAGTAATTGCAGGGCGTGTTCTAGACACTGGGCATAGGATGGATTCAGAAAATGTAGACATCATGAGACGGGGTTTAAGATTCAAAACAGCGGCTGGTGGCCGAAGTGGTGGAAATCGCCAAGCATAGAGTAGAGGCGGTAAAACTTGCGAACGTGTGGAGAGCGGTCTTATGTCAGCCGGGATGACACGAGGCGGGGTGCAGTTATAATCGAAGTGGTCTTGGTCTGAAAGTACAACATCCAGTTTACAAACCCCACCCCCATCCGCAAACCAATTGTCCCAGCACCCTTGGACAAACGCAGGTGAACAAAATCTGTGAACGGCGCCAAGAGGAATTTTCCAATAAGCTGTCCTAGAATGAAAATGCAAGGACGAAATATCCAGGTTCAACAAGAAGCAAAATCCTGAAAAATTCGCAATCCAAAGTTTTGGCTTCACTGACAACTGAGCAACCTCTAAAGCCACCCGAGATAGCATTGTACGTTTTGTTCAAATGGATTTAAAAGTTTTAATTTGCGCAGTGGTAATTATTTAGGTACGCCAATCTGACTCTCACAGCAATACTTTTGAACATAATCTGCTGAAATTCAAAGGGGCGAAGTAGCAGTTTTAATAGGGATAACAGAAATATAATATGAATACGTCAGCTGTAGTACCGTTTTGGTATGCAGTCGCCACATTGCCCGAGGAAAGCACAAGTGCTGAGCAATCGCCGGGTAGCTCAAGCGTGGACAGGACTAGTCGAGATGCCGAAGCTGGATTTGAAACACGGTCAGTAATTTCGACCCTTAACGCCTCGATCACCCTGATCATCTATGCCAAATTGAACTTCCGAAATCAGCTTTCTATGACCGAGCTGAAGGTTAACCTTATTCCTGGAGAGAGACTGACAACAAGAACGCAAGCGGCATCGGCTACCTACCATACCTTGCAGAAGAACGCATAAAAATCTGCGACGGTGGCGAGATGTTTTGGGGCTGGGTATAAACACAACCAATTTTTGTCACTGTACACAAAAGTTTACTATGTTCAAACCAGTGTCTCATGAAATCTTGGATTCGTAACTACGAATCGGTCGTGATTACTGCTTACCCAGATGTCGGGTCTTTGTTATATTTATTCGTCTAATTTTCCGCAAGAGACTGCAAGTTAATACGAGAGAGCCTTGAATCTTTGTATGGATTTGTGGTTCTGAGAAGATCATAAGTGCCTGTGTTTGTTGAGCGGGGCATCGAAACATCAACTAAATCATTGTAAATTACTAACAATGCTTAAATAGGTGAATAAGTGGATCAATTTGGGTATTGATTTTCGAACGTCATTTAGATTTCGAAGTTTTCCGTTACTACATCCGCGGCTGTGGTGAAGTAAGTTACCGCAATGACTTTTATGTGCTACATTTATTCATGCGGCATTGATAAGTAACGCGCCGCTTCAGACGTGCACCCGTTTCCGCTTTTGGGGCAGTTCTTTTGGCAAACATCAGGTTGCAACGTGGCAACTCAATAAATAAAGCCTACTTGTGGAATCACATTGTTTACTCGTACGTCATCCTCCCATTAAATTGGCGTGAGCCTTGCAGCATTTGACGTCATACTGTCTCCTGCCCCATACATTATACAACGCTTTGACAGTGAAACGGTCGACAAAGTTCACTGACCTGATAAACTTAGCTGATGACGTGAATGACAACATGTGTGAATATGGACAAGTTTTTTGTTAGGTGACAGAACTTGTTCCAAACAAAGTCCACATTTATGCTACGTGTAAAAACCGCATAAAGGTCATTTTTGTCTCATCCTCTAAAGCGCTAAGAAAAATCAAGTTTGAAAAGCTTATCCTTCAAAACTATACTCAGTCGACTGATAGTTTAATCATTTGTTTACTTCTCATAAGGCACCGCTTTCTCCACTGAAATGGTATGAATACAGGTGGGGAACCAATCAGCGAGCCCCTTTAGACAGTCACAATGGATAAGTGTTGAGTGTGAATTAATGATCTCGTCGGTTACTGTGGTTATCAAAATCTCACTTTGGTGGACTGGAGGAGCTTCAAATAAATTCCGATTGGGTTTGTTTCGTTAATGTCCCATTTCAGGGTGCTTCAATTCATGATTTACCTCGGTTGCCACTGCAAGATCTTCCTTGGTATTTGTGGGGTTGTGAGTGATCCGACAATTTAGTTTGAGGGGGGGCTGAAGTCGAGTGGAATTCTCAGATGATGACCACCCGTCCTTCTGATGACCACAAACCAACACGTGTCAGCTCGAGTGACCCAAGACCGTTCTCCACAATCTATTCTCTGTCTCGTATCCAGTGCGTTTTCCGCAATCGTCGATATTCATCTGCGTTTCTCGGCGGCCTGCTTGTTTATCTGCTATGCTCTCCGATTCTGTTGTATAGTCCTACGGGCGTCTGTCCTTGATGAAGCCGTTACACTTAGTTTTGTAGACAGTCTCTGGTTCAGTTTGCCGGGGTGCAATCATTGAGATGCAACAGTGCAGAGCGTAAAGTGTTCCTCCCAGGAAAGCTGCTCTTATGTTAGCCGTGGTTGGAATTCTTCGAATGACCTCCAATTTCCCTGGTTTATATGGAATAATAACAGTCCCGATCATTTCCCGGTTGGGTACCAAAACCGGTACCAACACCCTTCGCAATAAACGCCCAATCAAGCAAGCTAGATATCCGCTACAGCGAAGTTTGTTATTCACTTCAGTTTTGGCCGCTGTCCAATCAGCTTCTTCTGTGCACAGGGCCCTTACACGCTTAAACACTGATTAGGTAATGCTGGCGCATACCGATTTTGAATGGGCATTTGGATGGGTATGTAAAAATCGCCCCAGTGTCGGTTGGCTTTCCGTCATTATTTCACTCACGACCTAATGTTTTATGCAGTCTAAAAAGCCCAGTGCACCCGAAGTTGACCTGTCTCCATAAAAAAATTGATCGGTGGGCGCAGGTCATTCAGATAATTGCAAAACTCACTACCTTCTTCTCGTTCCATCCTGACGAAAGTGTCATCTGCATAGGGCCGGAATATCTTTGGTGGATATGGAAATCCAGCTAAAACTCGCTTTTCAAATTCTTCCGTAAATATATTTGCCAAAACAGGAGCATTTGAGATTTCATTGATAAACCTTGAGCTTGATTATAAAGCACTGAATCAAAGAACGAAGCAGGGGAGATTGAGACATGCTTATATATCTTCCACTATTTCATCTACCCTAAGCTGAGTTCGTTCTGAAAGGAGAGTTTTCGCCAACAACTGTCACTTGGCTTTATCTAAATAGTCTCGTTTTGACACAATTGGGCATAATGAATTCAATTCACATCGTACAAGGATGTCATCTAATTGAACAGGACGCCCGCTGCTTTGTTGGCAAAGTCATGTCAATATTTAATGAAAGCACTAGATTTTCCGGTGAGAGGCTTTGAAATGCCGGTCAAGTATCTAGCCAGTTCGTGTGGTGGGAAAACTATTCCGTCTACTATCTGTCTCACCGCAACATTTGGTTTAGTGATTATTGGAAGGCCATAAATTCGAAAGGAGCTCAACCGCTTCGTTCAATTACTCACTAGAGGAAGCCTCAGTGATCGATGAGTGAATCGACAGTAAATTTGGACACTTTTATCTTGGGTGCAACAAGCCAGCATCCAGCCAGAACACACGGATTGTCAAAGTCGGATGAAGTTGCTTGTTACGAGGCATCAGTTAGTCAGCTCCAGGTGCAGTGCATTACCATTCAACTGGTTAGTGCAACGGAATTTCAAATGACAATGATGTCATACCGGTTCACAGTCATTTACTTTATCACATTCAGGGGGTTTGGGCAGCTTGTCAAACATCAATCACACGTGTAAAAACGAACATCCGATCAAAAGTAAAAATTCCATGAATGGAGTTGTACGTTATGCCAGAAATTGCCGTCGATCGATTATCTAGGCAGTATTCGCCGAAATCCCTTTCGCTGTGATCGTTTTCAGATTAGCTTAACGCGGTCTATTATTTGACATAACCAAAGTGAAAAGCTCTCACCTACATTTGACAAATTGCCGATCATTCTTCAGTAACGTAAAATCTTATTGCATGGTCACGTGTTGACCGCCTCTTCGAGTGACCAGTTCTCAGGAGTAAGTTCCGCAATTCAATGAAAGTATCCTTCCTCTGATATGTTAGTGAAGCCCATCCAAACTGAAAACCCGAGAATCACTGTATAAAAGTTTCATCCTATTTGACAATCGACAACTAGTTTCATTTGCTCATGAATTCGGTTTGAACGGGAGCCCCAAGAAGGGCGAAACCTGTCATGGGTTGTCTAAGAATTTTCAGCAAATTTGCCAGTAATGTATGACGTCCAAACAGCAGCGCATTGCGTACCTCGCATATCGCACCAACTGGAATACTGAGCAGGCTTGTGCACCACATTCAGTTGAAGCGGACCATCACAAACAGGCAATTCACCTGGAATCATGTGACTCTCCTGTCAAAACCGAATTCATGTGCAAATGAGC